GCCCTGTTTTTGGTACCCGGTAGGCTGGGCACGCTCTCTGGCGTGTGTTATCATGCCTCTAAGTGGTGTCTCCCAGACACCTGGGGTTTAGCCCCCCACCTGTATCTTTCGCTTTCCTTTGGGGTGGGCCAGATGGTTAACAGTTGGGTATGTATCACCTTTGCGTTTTATTTATTTATTTGGTTTCGTGTCTTGTGGGCTGGAAACTGATTTCCCTGCTCATCATCTCATATTTTAAGGCTCGGTAAAAGCAACGTAAGCCCTTATTTTGTGGGGGGGGGGAGTAACTGGGATAAGGGTGTAATACGGGGGGAGGGGGAGAAGGGGGGTGAAATGCTCTCTTGCTTTAAGGCTTGGTGGGGTGTAGTTTGACTTCTAGGTATCCATCCAGGCATCACCACTTAGACCGTGTTCTGTTGTAGTGTTCTAGTGTGCCACCTATTGTATGTGCCATCTGCTCGTACTGTTGGGTGAGGCTTACTTTGGCGAGTACTGCCTTTATATCAGGTACTGTCGTAGTTTTCCACAGGGCGGCTATGCACGTTTTAGCCGCTAAAGTGATGTGGGTAATCAACGCTGCTTCATAGGCTGTAAGGTCTCGGGGTAGCATGTGGAGCAGATAGTGTTCAGGCTTGAGTGGGAATTGTTTTCCTAGTTTGGATTTAATTATGTCTTGGATTTGTTGCCAGTATTGGCTAAGTGCCGGGCAGTACCAGAATATGTGGCTCGTATTTCCCACTTGTTGGCTGCAGCGCCAGCATCTATCCTGCACCCCTGGGTATATTTGTGCCAGCCTGGGTGGTGTGTAGTACCACTGAATCCACATCTTGAAGGCTGCTTCTACATGGTCAAAGCTTAATTTTAATGACAAAAATACAATTCTTAAAGGGACACTATAGTCATCAGAACCACTACAGCTTAATGTAGTGGTTCTGGTGTCTGTAGCCTGTCCCTTCAAGCTTTTCAATGTAAACATTGCCTTTTCAAAGAAAATGCAGTGTTTATATTGCTGCCTAGGAACATCTTAAGTGGCTGTCACTCAGACAGCCACTAGAGGTGCTTCCTAGTCCAGTGATGAATCTACATTCAGCGTCTCCATGCTCTGCATAGAGGCGCTGAATGTTCTTGTGATTCAATGCGTCTCTATGACAAGAAGCTGATCAGTGCATTCACAATAGCCTCCCAGTGATTTCCTATGGGAAAGCATTGGCTTGGCTGAGATAAAGATTGATTACCTCAGCCATGAAGACGGGGCCAGCCACAGCAAGACTGACAGGGTGTGGGGAAAAGTAAAATGTGAGTTGTAACGGATCACCTGGCACCCCGACTGGGTACCTCCGTTGATGGATGCTCCTAGCGCTTCTTGAGGATTCCAAGCACTCTAGCCAACACCACAACCTCCGCAGGCCGAACCTCTCTTCCTTCAGAGCAAAGCAGGATCGAGCTCTTAGGAGTGATTATAGCAAGGGAATATGCAGAGCATAGCAATCCCTTGTAGCAGATTCCCCCAATAAGAGACAGGACTCCAAATTGAGTGTGGAGTAGAACTGACTGTACTGGCACATTAAGCCTTTTTTATTCACATTCTACAAACATAGTACTGCCCACAGGGTTTTGAAATACAACCAATCAATCCATACAATACACACAGACACTCCCACTCCAAATCCTCCCCTCTGCCTGTGATATGATTACTGAACACAATGGTTAATATAATTATCACAGGCAGAGAAATACATTATTATAAAACATATCACAGGGACCCCAAAACATGCAATAACCCCATAAATATATAATCGGAACCGGGGGATCTGGGTGAACCACATATCCAAAATTCACCCAGATCCGTTCAGTAGTTTGGAATATATGGTTAAATGCAGATTCCGCAGAACATATACAGGCTATTTGAAAAATAATTACTGTTAAATGTGTCCCCTGTTCTGTAGTTTAAAACTACTGAACAATGTCTCTGTGCACCAAATACCGGCGACATGGCACCGTGTAGAAAAGTCAAAACAGTGTCTGTGAGTTAAAATGGCCGCCATCCATTGTTCACACCATGTGCTTCATCCATTGTTCTCACCATGTGCCTCTGATACATGAAATGGTGGCCACCCAGTAACTCCACACTATGTCCCCAGATGGTTCTTAAAGGGCCAGCAGCAGCATAATAAAAATCTATTATGCCCAAATCAGTTCCTAGAAGGGCAATACATCTCAGGGTCATAGTCGCAGGGCAGGAGGCTAGCAAACAGTCTTCTCCAATGCCCAGTGGCGAGGCTGGTTCCGTCACATGAGTAAAATAGCCTTTCCCGTGCAATCAGAAGGGGCCAGAAACCTAAACAGACACTCACTGGCTGACCCACACACTCAGAAATTATAATTTGATAAAACAGTTTTAATTAAAATCCACCCAGCCTCCCTACCTTTGTGATAACTGAAATGGATTGGTTTTCCCTGTGGTCCAGTGGGGCTGCTCTCATCTCCTTTCTGTGCTCCCTAGAACATATTTTAGTGATGCTGGAGCCGGAGTGACGTCATATTCTGGCTCCCGGTATCACTGGATGGCGCGCAAGGAGGCAGAGCAAGGAGATGACCACTCCCTCGCCATTTCCATTCCGCACAGCCAGCACACCACCCGCTCACCTCCATTTTATTCAGCTGGCCAGCCACCTCCACTGTGCCACAGCTGGCCGGCCTCCTGCATGCTCTCTCGCGGCCTCCTCTGAATGTGACTACATATCCCAGGCACCATGACTAAATTTCTGGTCACCATGGCAACCTGGCACATTCTAACCCCGAGAGGGCAAGCAACCTAAATGGTGTTTTTAACACTATAGGGCAAGGAATACATGTTTCTGTTCATGACCCTATAGTGTTCCTTTAAATAAATCAAATTTATATTAAAAGTATGAGGATTCTGTCACACCATATGGCTATAGTGTGCTAAGCTCACACACATCATGAACACCTTCATAAAGATCTCTGCATTACTTATGCTAACCCACATTCATTACGGTTTTATTTTCAACATGGGACTAATATAATTTAATAGCACTTTGGTATAAAGGAGAATAGCACTCTAAATAGGAATTGTCATAACTTCCGTTTTAGCACAACACATCTAATTACAAGTTACCTAGAAGTGGTTTTAAAATTATATAAAATTTGTAGTTTTAGAATTCCATTTTTACATACATGCTTTGCCATTCAAAAGGAAATAAATCTGTAAAGTAGTTCCATCTTCCAATGCTGCACACACGTTGGAAGTGACAATCCCTCTTTAAATAGACTGGATTACATATTTAATTTAGAATACATGTATTCTAAACTACTTTCACGTGCATTCTGGTAGTAATTTGCACACTCTTTATGCTCCATGCTATAAACAATTTCTTTTTAAAACTGCTGAGCAGCCTCATTACTCTAGCTGAGTCACTAAAAATATACAGATGCTAACAAAGGTATCAAAATCAAGATACATGGATAAAAGTACCACCAGTATCATCTGACCCCAAAACAAGAATACATTATATATAGCACAAGGGCATATTGTGCGAATTACATTTACAGAGCTTCTGACAGCAAATTTTGTATATTCATAGGAGCCTTTCCTAATAACATGTAAAAAGAAAAAGATAGAACCGTAAGGTCCTAAACAGAAGAGTAATAGAAATGGGAAGGAGTCCCTACCTTTAATAGTCCTAAGGATGAAAACAGTATAGGATGAACAGGAAAAAAAAAAAATTCCTGTTCATTTTATACTGTTTTCATCCTTAGGACTAGTAAAGGTAGGGACTCCTTCCCATTTCTATTACTCTTCTATTTAGGACCTTACGGTTCTATCTTTTTCTTTTTACATATTGCATACTGTGAGTTATTCCCCATTTAGGAAGAGTACTCTAGGGCTTATTAACACTGATCCATGGGCCAAAGTAATGGCCCCTGAATCAGTGTTCTCATTATTATTTTCTTTCCTAATAACAGATATGGGAAAATGCATCATCTTGCCCGAGACATTCCATGGAGGACGCTGTACTGTCAAAGGGCTCTTGGCGGATAAATTGTCAGGCACTAATGAGAAGATGGCAGCATCTGTGTGGGACACCTCCAGGTGAGTATCACCTTAGCAGTAAAAGAGGCTGTTACCCCCACATCCAAAATGAGTATTTCAAAAACATTGACAAAATGTATGAGTTTCCTTTTGTCAAGCCTATCCTTTCCTACACAAGTAATAGATGTAAGGAAAAATAAAAACCTTTTGGTAGTCTCACAGGATCCTCCATAAACCTCAATGAGGTACTCTCATGTATGTGCGAGAGTACAGCGCTGGCATAAGCTCCTAACAGCTGAAACGCCAGGACCTGGACAGAACCGTACAGGCAAGGATAGCTGGACACCTACTTTCCCTTGACCCCATTGGCCACCAGACCCCCAGCGGTGATATCTTCTGAGGTCTTATGCAAAGACCACAGGCAGCGACAGAGTCACTTTAACCCAGACGGCGGAATTAAACAGGCATGTCACCTGGGGGAAGTCTATATAAAGTACGCAAAGACAATTGACCGAGCTCTATTAAAGGGACACTATAGTTACCAAAACAGCTTTAGCTTAAACAGTTTTTAAATTATAGATAATACCCCAATGTTGTTACATTTTGTTTCTGTTTATGCAGCAATAGCCACACCTCCCTTGGCTTTGACTGACACAGCCTGCATGAAAAAAAAAAAAAGGGTTTAATTGGCAATCAGATGTAACTTAATTTAAAAGTTTTTATCTCCTGCTCTGTAAATTGAACTTTAATTACATGCAGGAAGCTCCTGCAGGGTCTAACAAGCTGTCAACAAGGCAGGAGATAAATCTAAATTAAATTAAATTTGCAATAAAAGTGTAAAGTAAAATCCATAAACGGAGTATTATAAATATAAACTTCAGACTAAATCTTTACATTAAGAATGGCTTGTCTTATTTTAAAAGGGATCCTATAGTGCCAGGAAAACAGAGCAGTTTTCCTGGCACTAGAGGGTTAACAGGTCCTCCCCTCCTGACCCCCCTCTCACAGGGCTGAAGAGGTTAGAACCCCTTTAGCCACTTACCTGAATCCAGCGCTGAAGTCCCTCGGCGCTGGGTCACGCTCTGCCCATGTCAGTCTGCGGGGGGAACCTAATGCGAATGCGCATGTGCGGCAATGGCTATGCGCGCATTAGACCTCCCCATAGGAAAGCATTATTTAATGCTTGCCTATGGGGAAAATCAGACACTGAAGGTCCATGAGAATGTCCAGCGTCAGATAACGGGCCAAAAGTCTGTTTGGATTCTGGAAGCCCTCTAGTCTTTGTTATTACCAGATTTTATTTATTTTTTTATTTTTTATTTATAAGATATATTTTATCAGGATGGATACATTGAGATTTCTCTAGTTTTCAAGGATGTCCTGGGTCCACAAAACATTGCATTGTTAGAATAGGATACAATATTACAAAAATACAGTATACAAATATATACACATGCGCACACACACACACACACACATATATATATATATATATATATATATATATATAAAATAAATGTAATACATAACAGGTGCATTCTGTGCTGAGGTATATTGCCATAGATCTCTTAAAAGATTTTAGATTGAATGAAGATTTGACTGTGTCCCTGAGAATATTCCATAATTGAGGTGCTATATGTAGGAAAAGGGGGATTGAGACACTTTATTTTTGTATTGTGGTATGCTAAATATCGTGCTAGTACTGGATCAGAGGTTATAGGAGGTAGGAACAGCTGGGGAGAGCATTCTACTCTGGTAGGGTGGGAGCTTCCCAGACATGCTCTTATACACACGGCCGGAAAGATTAAGAGTGCTTTGGGATTCCAGCGACAGCCAGTTTAACTCTTTTAACATGTCACAGTGGTGGGTAAAGGAATTACATTCTAGTACAAAGTGGCAGAATGAATTATATAATGTATTAAGTTGATTAAGGTGGGTTTGCGGTGCATACACTGCATCCCCATAATCAATGACCAGCATTAGCACTTGTTGCACTGATTCTTAACTGTACAGGGCACCTAGTTTTGGGTAAAGTTTAGAAGATATTTTTTCAATGTGAAGGCCAAAGGATAGATTGGGGTCTAGCAACATACCTAGATATTTAAAAGAGCAGACTGCTGTCAGTGTGCCATTTGAATTTGTTCTGATACACAGTTGTTAATTTTTTAGTTTACATAAATTTAGGTACAGTTCCAAAAGATCATTGTAACAGTTTTGTCAGTGTTTAGGAAGAGATTAAGGTCTTAAGGTAAAATGACACCAGAGATCTCCCTGCATCATACCAACTTAATTGTGATAAAACATTTGAATGGACCATGACAAAAAATAGGATGATGCAGCGTGACAACGAAGAAGTGGAAATCATTGGAGAGAACTTGACCCAGCACTAAGTTTCCAGTTACCTTTAAGCCATTTTTTAAATATTATAGCAGGAGTAAATGTTTATGAATAGTGATTTATATATAAAAATTATTAATGATATAATGCACTCTACCTGATTTGTGATTTAAATAAAAAAAGGTTTGATATTGCAGTTTTTGTGACATCAAGGTTAATGTAGTGAATAGAACATTTTGGCAACTGAAAACACATGGTTTAATACTCTTTAGATACCATAGGCAAATATTACTATATCATTAGTAGCAACATATACAATGATCCACCGTATTTTTGGATGATGAAACATCCCCTTTAATGGAACGTTAAGGGGGAGGGGGATTGTGATCGGTCATAAGAACAGTTCATGATACATAACATAACATACGTTCCACAGTGCTTTAAGTTTAACATTCTAAGGGGATTGGATAACTGCCCTTTCTCCAGTTAGTGCCATTATACAATATAGATATACTGTATACACAATACACACTCGCATATCTTGCAATACAGAGCAGCTGGCTGTCAGGGCCATGTCCTGAGTCGTTGCAGGCACTGTATGTTTGTATCAGTGTGCTGGACACAGAGTATTTCCCTGTATGGAGGAGGCCTCCCCCTACTCCCCTCACCTCGGGCCTGGGCACTCGGGTACAGTCTCTCCGCTTTGTGCAGGAACCTCCGGGCTCGCTCCCTGTCACCGGCTTCCAGCGCCGCCCTGCCAATCCTCACACAGCGCTGGGCCTCGTCCCTGTTACTTTCCATGGTACCGGGGCTCCTCTCCTCCTCCAGCCCCGGTGTTCAGTACAGCTGGTGACAGGGAAAGGAAAACGGAGGAGGAGTGCGTCTGGCAGGGACTCCTCCTCTCACACACGACACGATGCGGCCATCTTGCTATACCCGGTGAGCTCCAGGGGCAGGCGGAGAGCGCGCCCAGCTAGCAGTGCTCGTGTGACATGCGCACCACCTTCTTCAGGCTATATCCTGCGCTTATCATAATGTCTAGCACTGGGCACTGCTCCCTGGAAGACTACACAGAGCGCTATATCACTGCCCCTGGCACTGGCTCGGGTATCGTGACACTATATAGCCTGAGCTTTAACACAGGGCTTTCCAACAGGTAACCATAGCTTTAACACAAGGCTTGCCAACAGGAAGCCATACTACCGTCTCAGGGCATGGCAACAAGTAGCCATAGCACTGTCTAAAGGGATGCCATCAGGTAGCCATAGCACTGTCTCAGGGCATGGCAACAGGTAGCCATAGCACTGTCTCAGGGCATGGCAACAAGTAGCCATAGCACTGTCTCAGAGCTTGCCAACAGGTAGCCATAACACTGTCTCAGGGGATGCCATCAGGTAGCCATAGCACTGTCTCAGAGCTTGCCAACAGGTAGCCATAGCACTGTCTCAGGGCATGGCAACAGGTAGCCATAGTAGTGTCTCAGAGCTTGCCAACAGGTAGCCATACCACTGTCTCAGGGGATGCCATCAGGTAGCCATAGCACTGTCTCAGGGCATGGCAACAGGTAGCCATAGCACTGTCTCAGGGCATGGCAACAAGTAGCCATAGCACTGTCTCAGAGCTTGCCAACAGGTAGCCATAGCACTGTCTCAGGGGATGCCATCAGGTAGCCATAGCACTGTCTCAGTTATCATGTCAATATATAGCCATAGCATTGTTTCAGCTATCACACCAACAGATATCCATAGCACTGGCTCAGTTATCATGTCAATATATAGACACAGCACTCCAGTCTCAGGGCATGCCAACAGGTAGCCATAGCACTCTTAGTGCATGCCGATAGATGAATAAAGCATCAGCAGTGTCCCAGATCATGTTTACAGGTAGCCATAGCACTGTCCCAGGCCATTACAACAGATCACCATAGTATTTGCACTGTCCCCTGTCTCAGTGCATGTCACTAGATAGAGCATTAGCAGAGTCCCAGAGCATGCCAACAGGTAGCTATAGCACTATCCTATACAACCACAATACTGTCCCAGACATGCCCAGATTTCCTTGTTTCATTGTCAAAAAATGCTTTAGATCTGATAAAGAGAGGAACTACTAACAGCTTGTCACTACAAATTTCTGTAAGTCCAATACAAAAGTTGTTACAAGAAACTGCAATACTTCATTTTGCATGCCAGCAGCCTTTAGATGAAGATATACAAACAAGTTGTCACTCATCACACAGGCAGGTAATGTTTTTCGAGAAGCACAAAGGACAACCTAGATACAAGTATAGCAAACATTTAAAAAAAATAATTTGGCCCAGAGCAGTCATTTTATTTACACTCACCTACCTCTTCTCCTGTTGAGTATGGAGCATAAACGTGTGTGGTGTGTTCTTCTGTTATTGTATGCACTAGCCCGGTTATCCTACCTCATCATGCAGATTGCAACCTTATTTCCCCACCTCCCCTATATGGAAGGTAGACATATTAAGCCAAATATATTGGTAGAGAGCCCTTATGTGTTCTTCCCCATATACTCTATAACAAGGTAGGCGACCTACTGCACACTAGTTGTCCCCTGATGCTTTGCCAGCATTTTGGCTGTAAGAGCATAATGGGAGATGTAGTCCACAACATCTGGAGTGTCGAAGGTTGCGTATCCCTGCATAAAATGCATACAAGTAGAGTTGAGCAGACACCTGGATGTTCAGGTCCGGCCGAACTTTGAAAAAAAGTCCGGGTTCGGGCTCGAACTTGACCCCGAACCCCATTGAAGTCAATGGGGATCCGAACTTTTGGGCACAAAAATGCCTCTGAAAAAGTCCTGGAAAGGGCTAGAGGGCTGCAAAAGGAAGTAAATGGGGGACAAGTGACCTGCAAACAAATGTGGATAGGGAAATCACTTAAAATAGCATAAAATACCTAAAAATTACAGCTGAGCCATAACATAGCACTAGATGGAATCTTTGATTTTAGCTTTGGAAGAACATAAATCAAAATCTAAAGCATGGCTGTCAGGAGGATCGCCAGAATTATCCATTTGAGAGGGGGTTGGAGTGCAGGGTATTCTCTTTCATTATTCAAACTGAGCTCAACTCCTGATGCATGGAGAAAAGGCCTTCACAAGCCTCTGCTATTGTGTACATAGTTTATACTAAGTGACCCATAGGTTGAGGAGGCCGTGACCGTGGTGGTGTAGGTGGAAGCGGCGGTGGAGGAGGAGGAGGTAGCCAACACTGTTTTTTATTTGTTTGTTTTGTTTTTTTTAATTGGGGTAGCCCCCCAAACATTGGGACGTAAAAAAAGAAAACTCTGTTCCGCAGAGCGACTGACCCGTGCATGCTGCAGCTGAAACTCCACTATCGCCTGCTGCTGCTCGCACAGTCTCATGAGGCAGTAAACAGGAAGGCCGAAGTTACACTGCAGTGCAGACAGGCAAGCAGCAGCAGGGTGAGAACGCCGAAAGCGTGCACAGACTTCCTGCACTTTTCTGCAGCAGCTCTGATATGTCTGGGTATACACCGTGGCGGTGTAGGTGGAAGCGGCGGTGGAGGAGGAGGTAGCCAACACTGTTTTTTATTTGTTTTTGGTTTTATTTTATTGGGGTAGACCCCCAAATATTGGGACAAATAAGAAAAGAAAACTTTGTTTCGCATAGTAGCTGTTGACATTATAGTTGTGCAGAGAACCTCGGGCCAATCGCACATCCCCGTGACGGCGACTTTGCATTCGGATGTCATCCATATCAACTTTCGATGCTAGTTTCTGCGCCTACCATGGTGACCACGGGTAATGGGGAATCAGGGTTCCATTCAGTACAAGGACCCTGAGAAACGGCTACCACATGCAAGGAAGGCAGCAGTCGCGCAAATGACCCACTTCCGACGCGGGAAGGTAGTGACGACAAATAATACAGGACTCTTGACATACGAGTTTTAAAACAGCCTGCTGTCGTTTCCCCCTGGTAGTGCTGAAGTTGGTGGTGAAGGTGTTACGCTGACCGGATGAGGAGGTGGTAGAGGATGAGGAGGAAGAAGCGGAGTAGGAGGAGGAGGCAACAGGAGGCAAAGCTGTGTACCCAAATAAAGATTGTCAAACGTTGTATCCTGGAACTGTGTCCCATCCGGTTACTGGGGAAATGGGTCTGACCTATTCTAATCAAAGGGGATAACCATTGGTTACCCAGGTCCCGCTTCAATTGGTGGCAAGTGGCGGGATCCCATGTCCCTGCCAACAGACCCATGGACTACAGTGCTCTAAAGCGACCTACACTACAGGACTTGTGTGGAGCCAGACGAATAACGCCTGGTGGGCCTAACAAGGCCGATTTGACTGCTGCGCTCATGGAGGACGACCAGGCATGCAGTGAGGCAACGAACCCCAGCCAGGGGCCGGAGATGAGGAGGAAGTGCGCAAGGAGGTGGAACGGCGCGTGGCATATTACTGAGAGCCACCCTCAGAGGATATGGCAAGCCTATGTCCTTGCCAATAGACAGAGGGCGACCTCCATGAACCCAGATGAAGGAAGAAGGGAGCAGAGGGCGCCGGGAAGCACAGCCACCCTGGCCCACAAGCTACCATACAATGCCTTCAAAGACTTCAAGGAAGCAGAAGAAGGCATTGATGACTTTTTACAAGACTTTGAGCACCAGTGCCTATTCCGAGACGTGGACCCCAGCGACTGGGTCACCATCCTGGCCAGCAAACTAGTGGGGAAGGCAGCGGATATTTACCGGGCTGTACCAGAAGAGCAGATCAGAGACTATTCCTTTATTACCCAAATCCTCCTGGCCCGGTATGCGGTCACCCCCGAGCAATACTGCCGAAAGTTTAGGGAGACCCGGAAAGGGGAGAAGGACTCTAATGCGGAGTGGGCATGCCGCATCACAAGGGCCACCCAGAACAGGCTCAACTCCCATCAAGTACAAAACAAACACTCAAAGAGTTAGAAGGTGTATAGGCGCTTCAGGTGATATGTAGGGTGTATGTATATATAGGTGTTCCCAATCACCTTAAAAATACAAATAACAAATAACCGTGATAATACAATTACCACATCAATACAACACCCAATGTGACACTTAAATGGGTATACTTCCCAATGATAGCATCTAAATAACAGCAAATTTCTTTCTTTGAAAATCTGTAAGAGACAAATAATACACATAGTGAAATATGTATAATGATATTATAAAAAGAAATATGAGATGTCAAAGTGTAGAGCCGTACCAGGCTCTATGTGATCAGCATCAAGGTGCCAATAACTGGCTTTGAAAGTATTCCAAAGGCAGGATCTCAGTAGTAGTAATAAATTTTTTTATTTATTTATATTAAACATGAATAATAAAATAAAGTAAAATAAAAATAAAAAAGGACAGTATGCTTGTCTGTAGTGCTACATGCTTCCAACAGACAAGCCCACTGACACACACACACATGCTTCCAACAGACAAGCCCACTGACACACACACATACAAGTTCACTCACTAGCAGACAAACACACACACAAGCTCACTCACTAGCAACCACACACACAAGCTCACTCACTAGCAGCCACACACACAAGCTAATTCAGGAGCAGGCACACATAAGCTCACTCACTAGCAGGCACACACACACACACACACACACAAACGTTCACTCACTCCTAGCTGGTATACAGGGATCTCTTTCTGCTAAACATTTAGGCAGTAACTCATACACAAGCAATCACTGTGTATTTCTCTTAAAAAAAAAAAAAAAAGAACCTTTAACCACTAGAGTTGTCATAAAGAAACTCCCTGTTTTGCACAGAAGGGATTCTCCTGGAACCCTTTCTTTGGCAAGAGAATTGGAATAACTACCTGGTTGCTTCCCTTTCACAATTTCAGAGCCTTATTGATCTTGGCCTATTCATTAACTTGGTGCAGTAAAAATAAACAAAAATCTCTGAATATGCAGAGATTTTTTTCCCGAGGGGATCAAACTAAATCTGGTGGTCTTGCAGAGGGGAGGAGAGGAAAGGTCTAGTTAATGCTGTTGAAATAAACACAGACCACCTAAACTGTCTGCCTGATCTCAGGAAACCTCATCAGACCTGACCCAACTCCGTCATGTGTCAGTCTTTATTTTATTAATGAGTGGTCTAAGCACAATGACACTGGGCTGCCCTGAAGCCCATTATTGTGGAGTTCCTCTTGTCCCAGGACTGGGTCTTTTCATTTTCATATGGTTATTGTATCTCATACTCAGAGAGCACATCTTAGCACGGAGTCCTGGATACCAGTTTAAAAGGATCTCACCACTGAGCACAAATTATATCTAAACAATAGCACACATTGTCCATACCAAGACACCTACTGGCACACATCACTAGGTTCACAGTCATAGATCACTCACTAGCAAACAGACACAGAAACACACACTCACTCACTCTCTCACTAGCAGACACACACTCACTCACACTCTCTCTCACTAGCAGACACACTCTCTCACTAGCAGACACACTCACACCCTCTTTCACTAGCAGACACACTCTCTCACTTGCAGACACACACACTCTCTCACTAGCAGACACACACTCTCTCTCACTAGCAGACACACACACGCTCTCTCACTAGCAGACAGACACACTCACACTCTCTCACTAGCAGACACACTCACTCTCTCTCACTAGCAGACACACACTCTCTCTCACTAGCAGACACACTCACTCTCTCTCTCACTAGCAGAAACACACACACACTCTCTCACTACTAGCAGAGACACACTCACACACTCTCTCTCACTAGCAGACACACACTCTCTCTTACTAGCAGACACACTCACACTCTCTCTCTCTAGCAGACACACTCACACTCTCTCACTAGCAAACACACTCACACACTCTCTCTCACTAGCAGACACACACACACTCTCTCACTAACAGAGACACACTCACACTCTCTCTCACTACCAGAGACACACTCACACACTCTCTCACTAGCAGAGGCACACACACATTCTCTCACTAGCAGAGACACACTCACACTCTCTCTCACTAGCAGACACACACACTCTCTCACTAGCAGACACACTCACACTCTCTCACTAGCAGACACATACTCTCTCTCACTAGCAGAGACACACTCACACTCTCTCTCACTAGCAGACACACTCACACTCTCTCACTAGCAGACACACTCACACTCTCTCACTAGCAGACACATACTCTCTCTCACTAGCAGACACACACACACACACTCACTAGCACACACACACTCTCTCACTAGCAGACACACTCACACTCTCACTAGCAGACACACTCATACTCTCTCACTAGCAGACACACACACTCTCTCTCACTAGTAGACACACACTCTCACTAGCAGACACACTCACACACTCTAACTAGCAGACACACTCACACTCTCTCACTAGCAGACAGACACACTCTCTCTCACTAGCAGACAGACAGACTCTCTCTCACTAGCAGACACACTCTCTCTCTCACTGGCAGACACTCTCTCTCTCTCTCACTAGCAGACAGACACACTCTCTCTCACTAGAAGACACACTCACACTCTCTCACTAGCAGAGAGACACACTCTCTAACTAGCAGACACACTCACACTCTCTCTCTCACTAGCAGACCGACACACTCTCACTAGCAGACACACTCTCACTAGCAGACACACACTCTCTCTCTAGCAGACAGACACTCTCTCACTAGCAGACACACACTCTCTCTCACTAGCAGACAGACACACTCTCACTAACAGACACACTCACACTCTCACTAGCAGACAGACACACTCTCACTAGCAGACACACTCACACTCTCTCTCTCACTAGCAGACAGACACACTCTCACTAGCAGACACACTTACACTCTCTCTCTCACTAGCAGACACACTCACACACTCTCTCTCACTAGCAGACAGACACTCTCTCTCTCACTAGCAGACACACACTCTCTCTCACTAGCAGACAGACACACTCTCACTAGCAGACACACTCACACACTCTCTCTCACTAGCAGACAGACACACTCTCACTAGCAGACACACTCACACACTCACTCTCACTAGCAGACAGACACTCTCTCTCTCACTAGCACACACACACTCTCTCTCACTAGCAGACAGACACACTTTCACTAGCAGACACACTCACACTCTCTCTCTCACTAGCAGACAGACACACTCTCACTAGCAGACACACACTCACTTCTCTACTAGTAGACACACTCTACTAGCAGACACACTCACACTCTCTCTCTCACTAGCAGACAGACACTCTCTCTCTCACTAGCAGACACACTCACACACTCTCTCACTAGCAGGCAGACACTCTCACTAGCAGACACACTCACACTCTCTCTCTCACTAGCAGACAGACACTCTCTCACGAGCAGACACACACTCTCTCTCACTAGCAGACACACTCACACTCTCTCTCACTAGAAGACAGACACACTCTCACTAGCAGACACACTCACACATTCTCTCTCACTAGCAGACAGACACACTCTCTCTCACTAGCAGACAGACACTCTCTCTCTCACTAGCAGACAGACACACTCTCTCTCACTAGCAGACAGACACTCTCTCTCTCACTAGCAGACACACACACTCTCTCTCACTAGCAGACACACACTCTCTCTCACTAGCAAACACACACAGCCGTGGCTGAAGCTTACCTGGCACTGGCAGCAGGTGAAGTTGCCATTTTGTGGCCCTTCTTTGCAGCGAGGTCAGCACCGTGTGTGGGGGCGGAGCTTAGGTGCGGGAGGCGTGGCTTGCATTACAGAGACGGGGCTTGCATGCGGAGGCGTGGCAAGCTGACGAAATTAAGGTAAATAGTTCAGGGAGACTCGTAGGTCTCCCTCCGGCCGTGGGCAGACTAATTGCGGCCACACCAGCCACCAGCTCCACCCTCATTAC